GCAATCTGATAGGTTGAAGCAGGTCAGTGCAGTTATCCAGGGTATGTGTGGAACAACATGGAGCATGGGCAGGGTGGGTGAGTGAGTGAGTCTGTGTACCGGTAGTTGAAAATACATGTGCTGGAGTATTTGATCTAGGTCTTTAATTTGCAGGTAACCCTTCTCGGACTCATTTTTCCTTCTTTGTTACCATGCATTTGATAATTACATGGTTCTCATCGTGATAGTCTTCAGCTGCTTGTAAGAATTTCATCTCATAATAAATGCATCATGAAATTCATAGTTTTCATATTTTTCAAATTCAAATAAGTAATTTCGTGTGTCATAACAGTGTTGTTTACTTTATGTACCTCATGTGAGATCCTTAATCGTGGCATCTATTTTCCATGTTTGAAGGCAGCCCATATTTTCATTTTATTTCAGTTGAATTTGTGGTTAGTTGGACACTGTTTTTTAAACTACTTGACAAATCTTGCTTGACAATGTATAAGGATCTAAACCGAAACGTCACCTTCACAGAAAATAAAGAAGTTGTTATCCATAAATTGTGTCTACTTTGTGATCCATGAACTTCAAAGTAATTCCTATCTGACAATTCGATCAATTGATAAATCTTGTCCATAGATTCTGCCTTATCGCTGGTTGTGGTATTTACAGTCATTTTATTGTAAACATGTCCTTATGTGTACCAGGACTATTTGTAGCAGTATATAATCGATCAGAATACATCAAAAGTTAATCAAAACATTACCATGGTAACATTTTTGTTATTACAAGAGTGAAGCAGTCACTGTTTTGGGCATTAATTTTATGCTTGCATTATGAGTTGATTTCCAGTTATTGATTTGAGTTATTTGTATCAGTTCATTGTTTAGATATCTGAATAAAGTTTTAGTGTACATGTCACTTCACCATTTGGTGTGCAAGATAATCAATCGTGATGCGTTCCTCATCTGAATTTCGTTCAAAAGGTTCACCCTGATATGTGGTCTGTCAGAACTATACCCATGCTCTAGTGTTTTACCTCTTTAGTAAACATGTAAACGTTCACAAGCTCACTCACTCACTCACACTTCTTGTGAAAAGGTAGACTAGAGTGCAGGGCTTGATATAGCTGTATAAAACATGCACCAGTGCAACCTATTTTTGAAAATGCAACCTGATATATATTTCTACTTCAAAAAACTTCAAATTTGTGTCCAACTAACCCTTTCTTGGATCTTGGAACACACACTCAACATCTGTAAGCTCCCTTTACCGTACTGCATCACAAATCGCTGTTATATGTAATTCATAACACAGTCATCAGAGACCTGAGTTCTTATTTAAACTAGTTTATAAATTTGATAAATTTATGGTACGAGGGTGCAACCTGGTTTTGTCTGGTGAAATAAGATTTCCTTGTCAACATGCACCTAGTGCAAGTTAAATCAAGTTCTTTAAACTGAGTTCTGGCATGAAATGTAACAAGGTTTCCTACTTAATGATTAAATGGGTAGCGTTACAAGCTCACCTGTTTTATAACCTGTGCTCTGTAAACATTCAAATTTCACACTTAATATAGAACTTCAACTACTTTGGATAAAAATCTCTCAAACCTCAAGAATCTGTATTTTTTAAAAAGGTATTATTGGGACATTTTGTACTCCAAAATGGAATTTGGTTTGTATGAGTTGAGAGTGAACTCTCTTGGGGATTGCAGTCTGTTAAGACATGCTGCAGCTGTTGAGTTTGTATCATTGCGGATCTCTTAATGGGAATTTGGCATCCTTTCTACGTTTCCCCAAACCAAAACCTGGTTATGTGTAAAACAGGTCTAACCAGTTGAGCACAACCTCACCTTTAGGTTTTGTTTGAGGTTACATGTATTCAAATTGGAGCATATATCATCCTCATCTTCATCTGTCATCATTTCTCTAGGGGGGAAAGTACAAATGTGCCAAAAGGCATGCAGTATGCATTGAAAGTCATAGAGCACATTATAGCAGAACAATTTGTTCAGTGGAAATGATCTTGATTTTATTCCCACTGACTGGATAATTATCAGGGAAATTTATTAGTTAGAAATGTAGACACTTTATGTATCCATTGTATCAAAAGACTTTGTTCGTCATACCATATGCATCAGAATAAAATTGTATCTGTGTATTCCATGTTTGATATGAGAAAGGAAACATGACTTCTATTTTTTTCAAAATAGTTTGTGTGTTATATGTTTTTTTATAAATTGTGATTTTTTTTGTCCAGGTATGACCTTTAACTTTATCGTTTTTGTATATTTTATTTAATATACAGCAAGTATGTGTTTTTTCGAATAACATATAATATGTTGTTTTTTGCATTTTTATTTTTGAAACAACCATGTTCACACTTTCATGTTCACTGTTTTTCTATTGTTTCTGAATTTTTGACATCTCTGAAACTCTACAGCTGAAAATTTGTATGAATGATCCCAGCTTTGTTGCTAAACAATTTTCTTACAGAATTTCGATTTGATTTTCAGGCAAGGCTCCTGATTAATGTCTTTCATTCGGGCCATCTTTTTTCAAAATGTATTGAAATTTGTCACAGGTATAGATGGTAGTGGGGCCTACCGTGCGCTTTACTTTTAGCAATATTCTAAATTTTGACTTTATACCAACTCTTAAGCATAAACAAATTTGGTGTCACCATAGTGAAATAAAAAGTGGTGCAAATTTGGAAAACTATATGTTAGACCCCCACCATGTATAAGCCTGCCACCATGTTTCATCAACCTATCTTCATACAATGGGAAGCAATGAAAAAGTAGGGTTGCCATGGAAAATTAATTTTTTTGACTTTGTAAAGAACTGGTTCGAACAACAGGCTGTCGGCAGCATGGTCCATACTACACATTTGGATAGGGGAGAAAATAGTGAATCAGTTCAAGCACACCCAAACTGTCCAAGGATGGCAGACCAGCTTTTTCCAAAAATTGATTTGCAAGATTTATTTTCATATTTAAAACATGAAATGGAACAGAAAGTTTAAACTTCTTGTAAAGAAGATCAAAGTTTGTTCAAGACCTTGTTATTTGCAGTCACCATTGCTGCCCTTAAACAATGTTGCCGAAATACTCTTTCAATCTGTTCCCAAGTCTTTGGAGTCTTTGCACTAATCTATCTTAAACTCACTACATAGATATATTTGCACCAAAGTAAGGTTGAAGTGTCATTAACGTACAGCTTCATAACACAGGTGAGCTACAGACCCTTGTGGGTCTATTTTGTGCACCCACTTCTGATAAGGATTTTTCACACGTATCAATCTGTAAATTTGGAAATAAAAAAACTGGAAGTGCATGTTGAATTTGCGGCCATTTTGTCTCCCCCCTTCAGAAACATGTGATGGTCCCCTCCTCTAACATTTGATGGTGGATCTAGAAATGGCTACTGTCTTTGCAGCCAGTGTCTGAAATAACTGCCAGCCCACCTGCCCGTGGCTGGTAACTTTTCTGTCGGGCTGCATGAAATTTTCCTCCCCCTGCCCGACTGTCTGGCAAATAATTTTAAGACTACTTATGTATTCAAGTTTATTATAACCTTTGTAGATTCTCAAGTAATTGTTATCATTATTTCAACTGAATCAAGACGCGATTTGTCTCTTAGTTTTTGTGATTTTTCAATATTTATAATGCCTGAACGTGGTAAGGTAACTTTGAAGATGGGCAGGCAACACTTATGGGTCACTTGACCGACTGTCTTGTTGGGTTTTAAAGTTATTTCGAACACTGTTTGCAGCTATTTAAATTTAACTGAAACCTTTATATTTCTGAATAGATGTCCGGATAAGGACATCCACTAAAAGTCTGAAACTGTACTTGTGACCGCTATGCTTTAATACCTAGACAAAATGACCATTCTGATGAGCTAAACCAGTTCTATACATGTCCTTGTTTTGCTTCGCAGAAATTGAAAAACAGAAATAGTTTCATTAAAGTTTGTAAACACATCAACCCAATGGTGACATTTCCTATAAAGTTTTTTTGTTCTTATCCATTATATTACCAGCTGTGATTCTGCTTCAGTTCAAATTTTTCAACAACTTTCTTCACATTCTTTGGTCAAGGCATGAAATGTGATGTCAGGGTGTGAAATGTGGTGCCTTTCTCTTATAGAAAGGCCTGTTGTTGGTTTTATTGTAAGATATCTTTGTAAAAACTTATAGTGCAGGGTTAGAAATTGGCACTAGTCCTATAGTCCTTGCCAAACTGCCCAATAGTAAAGGTATCCTAAGGACTAGTAGAATTTTGACATTTTTAAAGGTTCTGCTATATGCTATCATTTTTTGGACTAGTGGACTGAAACTGTTAGTTTCTACCGCTGTAGTGAAACATTTAATGTATTTGAGTAAGGCTTTCAAATCTGTGCAATAAGCATCAAAGTATCAGGGTAGGAAACTGTCTGTGTCCTGACACCTGTCAGAAGTACATATAGGAATTCCGTCTAAATCTTTCGGGTTGGTCTAGCAAACCAGGGCATTGGTACATGGGGTTGCCTGGGGCATTGATCATCCTGTACCTACACCAGATATAGCCAAGCATATGAAGTCTTGAAAGATATTTTCAGGAAGCATGGGGGACCATAGACCTAACACATTACCCAGCTCCAAAATATATTCTGAGATATCCAGTTTCCAGTTTCATTTAGAGCTGTCAGCATCATGTTTTCCGTTTCCATGGTGATCACCGGTCACCACCTATCCTCTGTTTGGAACCAGCAATAGTCTTATTTAAACATCTTGCAGTTTATTCTGAGAAAACCAACTACTGCTCCTTCTTCTCTTCCGACCTTGAATGAAATCCACTGATTAATTTATTCTAGCCTTGTGCTTTATACTTAATCTTTCAATCAACACCTAATCTTTTTACAAGCTCACCCAGATAATATATCGTAGTAAAGTTCTTTTCATAACCTCTACATACATGTATGTGTGCTTACTGGGTGCAGAGTTTAATATATGCTGTGTTTTATTTTCAGTGTGCGAAATCAGCCAAAGCAAAGTGGGCCTGTAAATGGTGATGAATGTTATTTTTGGAGAACGACTGGTTGTATATATGGTGATAAGTGTCATTGGAAACATTTGCCTGATCATAAAGGCGTGGATAAAAAACCTTGGCAAAAGGTAAGGCATGAGAATGTGTGTCATGTTTTTTCAAGGCAGAAATTCATTGTCATTACCTCAAGGTTAATTTGTGATAATGTGTGGTGTTAATGCATGGTTAAATTGGAAATAACTGAAAATCAAAATGTACTGCAATCTTACTGGTTAAAAAACCCAAATATTTGTCATTTGTCATTGTTAACATATATGGCCTCCATATATTAGAATAGGGGGATTGTCAGATTATTTCCAGACCGCCGTCATATGGGTGGAATATTTCTGAGTGCGGCATTAAAAAATAAATTAAAACAAACAAACAAGAATAGAGCCTCCATCATGTCCATCACTGCACTGCTTGCTGTAAGAGGTGACAAACTTGGATTGGGTGGTCAGGCTGTAGACTTGGTTGATTGCATGTCATGGTATCCCAATGGCATGGATCGATGATCGCAGTCTCAATCTCGGGATGTCTTGTCCAGACTTGATTATTTGAAGGTTGCCATCATATTGCCAGAATATTGCAGAGTGCAGAATTAGGCAACATACACAATTACTCATGTTTGTGATGTTCTTGTGTTTCCTCAAATGTTCATGATATGCTGTTTCACTGGAGGTTCACATTTATTCTCTTTGTTTCACCTATTCATCATGTTCATGAAATCATGTTTCACTGTTTATAATACCCTCTTTGTTTCACCTGTTCATGATACCCTCTTTTTGTTTCACCTGTTCATGAAATCCTGTTTCACTTGTTCATGATACTTTTCTCTGTTTCACCTGTTCATGATACTCTCCTCTGTTTCACCTGTTCATTAAACCATTTTATCATGTTCACCCTATTTGTGTACCACCTGTTCATGAAATCCTGTTTCACCTGTTCATGAAACCCTTTTTCACTTGTTCATTAGACCCTTTTTCACTTGTTCATTAGACCCTGAGGATCCGGGGGATAATAGGCCTTCAGCAACCCATGCTTGCCGTATAAGGCAACTATGCTTGTCGTAAGAGGCGACTAATGGGATCGGGTGGCAAGGCTTGCTGACTTGGTTGATGCATGTCATCGATCCCAATTGTGTGGATCGATGCCCATGATATTAATCACTGAATTATTGTCTGGTCCAGACTTGATTATTTACAGACCGTCCCCATATAGCTGGAATACTGCTGAATGCGGCGTTAAACAACAAACCAACCAACGTGTTCATTTTTTTGTTTCACCAATTCATGATACCCTCTTTGTGTTTCCCCTGTTCATGAAATCATGTTTCACCTGTTCATGATACCCTCTTTGTGTTTCACCTGTTCATAAAACCCTGTTTCACCTGTTCATGATACCCTCTTTGTGTTTCACCTGTTCATGATACCCTCTTTGTGTTTCACCTGTTCATAAAACCCTGTTTCACCTGTTCATGATACCCTCTTTGTATTTCACCTGTTCATGATACCCTGTTTCATCTGTTCATGATACCCTCTTTGTGTTTCACCTGTTCATAAAACCCTGTTTCACCAATTCATGATACCCTCTTTGTGTTTCCCCTGTTCATGAAATCATGTTTCACCTGTTCATGATACCCTCTTTGTGTTTCACCTGTTCATAAAACCCTGTTTCACCTGTTCATGATACCCTCTTTGTGTTTCACCTGTTCATGATACCCTCTTTGTGTTTCACCTGTTCATAAAACCCTGTTTCACCTGTTCATGATACCCTCTTTGTATTTCACCTGTTCATGATACCCTGTTTCATCTGTTCATGATACCCTCTTTGTGTTTCACCTGTTCATAAAACCCTGTTTCACCTGTTCATGATACCCTCTTTGTGCTTCACCTGTTCATGAAACTGTTTCACCTGTTCATAAACCCTGTTTCACCTGTTCATGATACTCTCTTTGTGTTTCACCTGTTCATAAAACCCTGTTTCACCTGTTCATAAAACCCTGTTTCACCTGTTCATGATACTCTCTTTGTGTTTCACCTGTTCATAAAACCCTGTTTCACCTGTTCATGATACTCTCTTTGTGTTTCACCTGTTCATGAAACTGTTTCATCTGTTCATGATACCCTCTTTGTGTTTCACCTGTTCATAAAACCCTGATTCACCTGTTCATGATACTCTCTTTGTGTTTCACCTGTTCATAAAACCCTGTTTCACCTGTTCATGATACCCTCTTTGTGTTTCACCTGTTCATGAAACTGTTTCACCTGTTCATGATACCCTCTTTGTGTTTCACCTGTTCATAAAACCCTGTTTCATCTGTTCATGATACTCTCTTTGTGTTTCACCTGTTCATAAAACCCTGTTTCATCTGTTCATGATACTCTCTTTGTGTTTCAGAATGCTGTATAGCAGAACATTCACCAAGATTTGTTGTTGTTATTGGGTTATCTCCCTTGCTCCATTTGTGGCCTTGCTCAGACTGCCCCCGGAAGAGGATCATAGTGGCTACATCAAGACTGGCGGTCCACCCCTCGACAATATGCAGCTCGTAACAGAACCATGTACTTAACAGGAAATACTGTGACAGGATCTGGAAGCAGGACTCGAAGCTGTTTACAAATAAACCATTTTGGATTACAGGAATCTGGATGATGTAGCTCTAAGACTTACCAGTGACAGAAGACGATCCATCAAGAGGAACAGGGTTTCATGTTACCATGGTGTCCTGTTCAATATGTCTTCTGATATTATCTTGGTTGCCATGGTAAATTATCACAGATATCAATTGGTGAAGTATTTTCCAAGGTTGAAATCATGTATTTTGATACAGGGAATTTTTCTGTTCTTGTCGTCATGCAAGACATTGTCATGAGATGGACATGAATAGGTTGTGGTAGGATTCTGTATACAGGCGCCATCTGTGTTTGGCACAGGTTGGAACCATCGTATACCCTAAAGTAAGAACTGACAAGATTCCATATTTTAGTCCCAGTGTATCATGTATGTTAATTAAAGAAAATATGGCATATTTTATCATTGTGATCTGTGACACTGTGTGACTTGATTTTGTGATAGAAAAAATGGCTTTCACTTAATTGGTGTGGGTTGTATTTTTTTTCAACTTTTTTTTCGGTTTTACTCTGAGCACATTGATGGTATTTACTGCTTATTTCATCATTCAACGTCCAAGGATGTTTGAGTTAAACCAACATCTGCAACAGCTTGATCATGTTGATAGGACTCACAAACATTTTTATCATCATATATATATATATATAATTCTTTGTTGTATTTATCATTGGTTATTTTTTTTGCTTGGTTAAGGTAATTTGACAGTCGTTCATTTATATCACTATTTTCATCAAGAATTTGAAAGAATATTATTACTTCATTAATAATAATAATAATAATAATGATACTAATAATAAAATAAATAAATAAATAATAATAATAATGTACTGGTTGTCAAAATGTAGTTTGAGCAGTTTTTCCAATATTCTGGTTGTCATTTAAAAAACAAAGTAAATCATCAGTAGTGCAGATGATTTTCTTTTCTTGTTAAGCTAGGATGACAAGATAGGTAAAATATTGTTTTATTTTTGAAAGCATTTTGTATTCCTTTTGCTTGTATTTTGAAACTTTTATTAACTTGATTAAGGATTTATTTTAAATTAACCTGAAGTCAACGCCAGAAATAAAATTACTTGGATCCCTGCTATTTAGCATAATTGTCCAACACAGAAACCATCAACGAGAAAATGAAACAGTCTGGCATCAAACATGTTAAAGACATTTTGTAAATGAGTCATCAATTTAGATAATGTTTAGTCCTCAAAGCCTCACCAGTCAAAACTGCTTTGGAATTATCGAACAATATTATCCAAGAGATCTGAATATAAATTGGAACATAGTATTTATCCTGAAAGTCAATGTTGAACGCTTTGTGCAGGCAGCTCTGTATGGGCTGTCTGATGTTCAGCTGTTTGGTTCAAGCATCAGAACCAGTCAGAACCAGGAATTCCGGAAACTGATTTATTTGGATGTCAACCACTGTATTGTGCAATAGTTAGGGTCACACTTCGGTTCATCCTCTCTTATCCAGGGTACTATATCTCCATTCTATTAGAATAAATACCCTGTACACATTCGCCCCCAAAGTCTCCATCCATCAGATCTTCGTGCACACTACCGCTACACATAGATCTGAGAACATCTTATTACAGGTCTGGTTAGAACAACCTCTCGTGAACTTTGACCGAGCAAGGAAGCACTGGCTTCAAACTGGTGACTTCCATTCCAGACTATTCTTTGAAAACTACTTTTGCAAATTTCTTGATTCAAAATGAGAAAACTGGACAAAAGAAAAATCTGGATTGTTTAATAGATGGTTTGGATTGTATAGCAGTACTTCCTACAACTATTGTTCAAAATTCCCTGTGTCAATCTTCTCGAGGTTTAATTATCAGAAAACCTGTAATGGGATGTCCTCAGATCTTTGTTTAGCGGTAGTGAGAACAAAGATCTCCTTATAGTGAGATTGGGTCTCCATCTCTCTATCACATATAGGAATTCACTTGCTCATGGATGTAATCTCATTTGATAGATACATTTGGTGATGTGTCTTTCAGATACAGTTCAAAACAAAGCTAGTGAATGTGTCAAGGGTGTTTGTCCACATAGAAATGAGATATAATACACTGGATAATCGCAGATGATGCAGGTTTAACTTGCACTATAACATATGTTGCATTAGTTTTGCCTCTTGTGAATTTAATCATGTACAAAAGTTAGACCAAAACATAAAGCAATATGATGAAAAAAAATGTCTTGCAACTTTCATAGATGTTAGTTTGGGTGCACTTATATACATCAGTCTGTCCAATTTAGGGATAATGCAGGTCCGATTAGTTTGGGGTCCTTATATGTCAACACTATTTAAGCCTGTAGGTATGCTTGGATACATTCAAGAGGTAGAGGGGTGGGGTAGTCTCACGTGGTTAGACTGTTCACTACTGAAATGAAGTAAAGAACACCCCATATTTTTTATTTGACTATAGTTAGTAGCGCCATGACATAAATTATAGCCACATGAAAAAAATGGGTGTGCTTTACTTCTTTTGAGTAGTATATATATATCATTATGTTTGAATGAGCAGATAAACAATGTGGTGTTTGATCTATTCGAAACAGACTGGCTGGCACTACTATGTATACAAAAATTTATAATAGCAACTAAGGGGCGGTCAGGTAGCCTAGTGGTTAAAGCATTTCATGCCGAAGACCCGGGTTAGATTCCCCACATGGGTACAATGTGTGAAGCCCATTTCTAGTGTCCTCAGTCGTGATATTATTGGAATATTGCTCAAAGCACTCACTCACTCACTCACTCACTACTGGCAACAAAAAGATCAGTCATGCTTTTTATGAATATTCATGTCTGTCAGTCCATTGGTGCACAGTGTTCTGGAACTGTTCAGCATGTTCAGTGGACAAGGACACAGTTATAAGTATTGATAGACTTGGTTTACAAAACAGATGGAATATTCAGTTTCCTATATTGATTTTCAATATCGGTTTGTAAGGGTAGACATTTGCAATAAAGGCCTAAAGCAAGTATGAAGTCGAGATGTGTAATGACTGAACACCGACCTTGGTCTGGTCATGGCAGTAGAGCTGGTGTAAAGCTGCCCTTCTTTTCAACGAGTAAGATAACAGTAATTTTATTTTGATAGATCATTATTTTTAAGGGACTGGTCATTCATAATGGTTTGAGGCTTGGAAGACTCTTATGGTCATACCATTGAAGACTTCAGGTGGTAGAAATGAATTTATCATTTTTCGGAGGGTTCTGATAAAATGGTAATCTAAATGTTGTTAATAAAAACATTTTAGACTCTTCATGATGATGAACTGTTTTGGCAGTTGTGGAGTGTCATGACAAACAGGACAAAGATTTGGTGATTGAGGGATGCAAAAATTATTTTTCTCAACATGTGCTACGGCCCACATTTTCAAGTAAAGATGACTGTTTTGGTCCTCAGCAAATGTTGAATAGTATATATAAGGTTAAATCTTTAAGAAAATGTTTTGAAGTATCTTTGCCCACACAATTAATGACCAATTCTAATTTGTTGATTATTCAACTTTTTTTATTCTGTTGACTTCACTGTGTGTGCTGTACACTCAGTGGTTGAAGGCTGTTTAATTATAAGTTATGTAAAAAATAAACCAGAACAGAAAATGACTAATGTTTAATGACGAGTTTGCGATTACACGGAGCATGTGCCTGCATATAGTCATGAAACAAGGGGGATAACTCTTGTTTTTGTAACAGATGAATGATCATTGAAATCAAGTCATGCCATTGTATGCAAGAAAATGTTTTCATGTCCAAAGTTGTGAATCATTGCTGCATGTCCATTATATGCCATAGTCAGGATGATATTAAGTTTGTCACTATTTTCATATATAGATTGGTTTATTATGTATGTGTCAAGTTTTATTAATAAATGTTATGCCATGTATTCCCAGAGAACATCTTGTACATTCATGATAATCCCTTAAACCTTTGAGCAAGTCGGTGTCCGAGGTTGACATTTCCTTAAAGATAAAGGGCAGTAAACAAACATGTCCTGAACATAGATTTTTTTCTGATTATTTGAGGGAGCATGGGTGGCCATGTTGGCTGAGGCACTGCAATTCTCTGTGCAGAGTTGCATCCCTTGGGCAGGCCAGGGATCTATGATTCTGGGTTCAAATCCCTGTTTGCGAGGATTATGTTTCTAGGTTTGTCAGCATCAAACCAATGTTTGTGGGTTTCATCTAAGTGGTGGGGCGGTCGGGTAGCCTGGTGGTTAAAGTGTTCGCTCATCACGCCGAAGACCCGGGTTCGATTCCCGACATGGGTACAATGTGTGAAGCCCATTTGTGGTGTCCCCGCCGTGATATTGCTGTAATATTGCTAAAAGCGGCGTAAAACCATACTCACTCACTCACACACTCACTCTTTCATCTAAGTGGTAAACGTCTGACACCTGCATCACTTCCGGCTATCCTGTCATATTAAGCTGACGCGCCCTGATATAACTGGAATGCTGTTATAAGTGGTGTTAAACCCAACTTACTCATTCACTCTAAAAGTAATGACAATGACACAGAGTTGATTTATTTTTTTATTTGACAACACACAGACCTTGTTAGTGACAAGGTGAACCTGAGTGTCCCTAATATCGTGATGGTGCTGATCCAGCTTTGAACTAGCATCTTCCCACATGTCTGTTTGGTTTCAGTTCAACTTGCCTTAACCAGAACTTGTCCTGTGTGGAGTCAGGAAGTGCTGATAAAATTTGATGGTGAAGCAGATATGATACATGTGTCGCAATATGTCAACAACCCAGATGACAAGTAACATCTGTATGTGATTGGCTTACACGGGAGGCCAGATGAAACAGCTGTTGTGAGCCCTAGGCCTTGTGTCAAATGATCCTGTCAGTGGTTAAATGGTAGTTATCAGAGCAATGTCTAGATACCTGGGAATACAGGCCCTGTGATACTGACTGATCTTGAAGCTATGACTGTTGTTACTACACTCTATTGTCGACATTGGAAGACAAAGACATATTTTATGGACAACTTCTTTATTCACTGTTAAGACAATGTTTCAGAATAGATAATTCATTATACAGTTGTCAAGGAAGCCTAAGATCTATCCTGAAACGTCGCCTTTACAGTGAATAAAGACGATGTTATGGAAAAATTGAGTCACTATCCGTCAACTAAGTAATGCCTATGAAACAAGACATCTGAAGAGCTGGGTTATGAGGGTGCATGGTTTTCTGCATTGCTTGTTTAGTTAGTGGGTTTAAAAAGCCTAGTGGTTTAGGCATTCATATGTAATACTAAAGGACCTGATTCGCTTGTACCAAACCTCTATTAACTAACTATCATCTGCGTAGTGTGAAGAAAAGCACTCCTCTCTGAACTATAAAGTTTGTCACAACTGCTGAATTAACACTTATGACATGTATGTTGTAGTGTACTCCTTGTTTTTTACAACACGTTTCTTTTATCAGCATTGGTAGTTATTGTCAGGCATGTTTGTAGAGTGACCGGTTATATTGGTGCCCTATGACCCAAGCCTAGTGGGTAGCCTAGTGGTTAAAGCGTTTTGATATACAGACATTCAGGCATCAGAAGGGACCTTTGGTTTGTAAATATTATTTTTTGTATTTTTTTGTGTGGAAATTATACATTTTGATTGTATGCTATACTTTTGACCTAAAAATCAAATAAATATTATTTTTTATTGAAACCTTATTCCCCTTTGATTCAGTACTACTTTATGACTCTAGAAAAGAATCAGATATGCATAGACCTTACTGCAAGGTAAACAGGTCAAGGTCGGGTCAGGTCAAGGTTGGATAGGGTCGGGTCAGGTGGAAGTGGCAATTGGATCGAGTTAATATCTGACTTGCGACAGTCATAGCTCTCAGGTCACTTTGTAGAACAGGAAGAAGAATCATGGTGGGTTCCAGGAAAGAATAGACTTACCAAACCATTGCCTTAAAGATGTGAGTTAATGTACAGAGCAGTTGTCGTGACAACCAGAGTTGTGTATGGTACTGTACTGTACATATTGAGTGATAATGCTGATCTTTGTTTCGTCTACTTTATGCTAACCCACCTATGCAACAATTTCTTTCTTTCTTATGTCCTTTGAGTTGAAATCTACATTCATTGATGCCTATTCTGTTCGCAATGTTTCCCCATCACAAATATTGTGGTTGAGAATCTGAAATACATGAATTTTATTATGAAAGTTAAAAATAGTACATTAGTGAAAATGTTTGATTTTAAGATTTCAAGAATCTGACTTGTTTTATTTGTTTGAATTTTGATTAATATTAATGTTTTCCTTAAAGCATTAGTACTCTAAGATATGTTATGAATTCAGAATAGGTGTGTGATTTTATACATGCACACCAAAATGTCCCAAAGAAGTGTACAGTGTGATGTTTATCAGGTGGATTAGTTGTGTTGCCATCAAAGGTATTTTTCTCCCAAAATGTGAAAGAACATGTAATTAGCATCCCAGAGTTCAAATTGACCTCTAAGCAGACTCTGCATGATGCTTTGTTGTGGAGGCCTAAACAGAGGAACCGATCCACCCATGCCAGCAGGCTGCATTTATGTCCTGGAAGGTGTACAGCTCCTCCCTGATTCATCCATGTGTCTGTGTATGTGTGTTCTAGTCCATGTTTCTTGCCCATACTTCTGTACCTCCAGTGGGGGCACTTGTCGCCCAGTTGTCTTTAGGTGTTGCAGTTCGCAGTGCAGAGTTGCATCCCTTAAACGTGCCAGAATCCTCATGGGTTCGAAACCCAGATGACATGATTTTTGGTTTGTTGGCACCCAATTTCATTAAAATCAGATCTTAGTGCTCACTACCACTACACAAAGATCCGAGGACATACCATTACAGGTCTCGTCAGAATGACCTTACATCCAACCAATTAGAGTGTTGCTTTAAAGATTACGAAATTGAAAGTTCAGAATGTTTTGTAATTGTGCAACCTTGAAAAGTGCCGTAAACTCGAGGAAGCTGCTTTTTGATTGGCTAATGTTGACTTCCTGTTTGTCATTTCATTGGTTGTCAAAGTTAACCAAAGGTTGTTCTGACATGGCTTATGGAAAGATGTCCACAGATCCTTGTGTAGGGGTAGCAATAGCAATTACCAAGATCTGATCCTAATGAGATTGGTCAGCACCACACCAGTAAATGTCTGAGACCTCATTGCAGCCTTATCTTCCATGTTATGCTGATAAAACTGAAATACTCTTCAAAGCGGAGTTAACCCTAACTCATTCACTAACTTCAACTGAAGTAAATGTAAACATTATTCCCAGTTGCCGTCAGTTGGTGGGAAATTGCTGATGTGACAAAGTAATATTTATTCACTCATTCAGTCATTAATCCCAGCTTTGGACCCTTTCAAATTAGCTGAAACCACATCCATTGGTGATATGATAGCAGGAACCAGGTAGCCACAAGCATTTCAGTTTTGCTTTTATCATTTATGGAGGATTAATTGTAGGGGAAAATCCGAATAAATTGAAGCTGGTCAGTTGTAGTTATTAAGGCTGCTAATAGAATTTGTAATCATTTCAAATGTAGGGGACTCTCCGTGGTTATATACTCATTTAAATGCAGTGCAAACACAGGTCAGTGTTTCTCTTCTCAGGGTTATCCCTGATCCCTGTGTAATTTGAACAAGATAAGGGTTAAGTGATGTACATATATCTACATGCAGTGATTTGTATTGGTAGCAAAAGAAGGAGCCTACACATAATAAATATGATGATCAGCGGCTGTACTGGAAATTGTGAAACGGTTGTCAAAGTGCCAAAGAAATCTAATGTGATATTACATTGTTTTCCAACTTTTGATATGCCAATTCAGCATATTCTGCATTGAAAATCACATTGTAAATTTAAAGAAGCTGCTTTTATTCTTTCTGAAACAATATCAAGTCCAAAGGAATTCAGGCACTGAGGTAGTTTGAAGGATCAGGTGTTGACATGCTTCTCAGATTGCCAGTGTTTGATTCCTCAAATGGTCCATTTTGTCAATCCTTTTAAGTGTTGACTCATGCTTGTTTTCCCCAGATAAGTAAGGAACTAAACCTACAGATAACCAGTTGATAGTTCAGTAGAACAAAGCATTCAAACATTTCTTCACTTTCCCTTGCATAAAGAAAGATTCTGTCACCGATGTGTGTATGTTTAACTAGTGCTGGACATTCTGGGACTCTGCATCACTGTGTCATGTGCCCCAGTGGTACCTTGAATTGTCATATTGGTATATAAATTTGTCAGAACATTCTGCAAACAGGTTTTCATTTTATAGACAAACTGGAACACTATATCAATTAGCAATCATTTATTGTAGAAAAAGTATTTAAGAAAATACTGGAAAAATGATTTTGCCCAAAAGTTTGAAAAATTAGAATCGTTGGGTTTCTCCTTTAGATTTTTTGTTTTTTTCTTAAAGCAGTAACTAAACAGTTGTATCCTGACTATGAAGCTGGTATCCAGTGAATATTTATTGACACTGATGACTGTGTCTTGTCTGTTTGCCTCTTTGTTGCACCTGGATCAGTTTCTTATCAAGATTCATTTAACTGCTCTGTCCGAATATATCTAACATTCAGTGCTGTGTGATTGTGTTATTTTGTAGTAAGCACCTGTTCTATATTTGCACAACCCATGCAAATATGGTTTTGATTGACAGGGAAATACTTGTGTCATGGTTTTCATTTTAGTAAAGTGTTAGAAATGGTTCTTATTAAAGCCACATATTATGACAGTCTTTTTAAATACTGTCCTTCATTATCAAGTGTATCATATGCCCATCCTTCTATATATAACCGGCTCCTATTCGTCACTGTACCTTTGTTTTAATTCCAGTTTGATATGACATGATGCTGAAATTTGATGTCAGTCAAATTACACTTTCCTTCCATGACTGAAACAAGCAGTGATTTCACAGTACTTGATTTTTGCGTGTTGTCTTAAATACAACCAGAATGCCTTGTAAATGGACTACCATTTCCCTGTGAATGTTCTCACAAAACATCT